GAGAGGCAGCTGGGAAGGGTGGGTTCGAGCTGGAAGCAAACTGCTCTTTGTATTGTAAACTGCACCTACCTTGCTGGCTAGGGCAGTTTGAAAAGTGGTGAGAAACTGGTGATACCAAAGCCTCTCAGATTGAGCTTTAGATTGAGTGTAATGTGAACAGTCAGTGAGTTCAAGATTGGCGAGACACTGGTGCAGTTTCGTAGGGGAGGTAACAGTGGCTCAAAGGAGAATGATTTTCCTTTTGCGTAGCAAAAGTTATGATAGCAGAATCCCACATGATGACTGCTTCCTGAATTGCAAGATCCTTCTCAGTGACTCGGCGTTGATCCCATGGCGGTGAGTTTGGTTTTGCATCTTTTAGCAGTGTAGACGTTTCAATAGTGCCTTACAGAGGCCCTGGGTTTGTACAAAAGAGTTGATGCCCACTGGTAGCTACCCTGTAGGCAGGGTAGAACTGAGACTATGACTCTTTACCGGAGTAGAAAACCCTGTCTTTTTCTTTGATCGACTGGTGGTTTTGAACTACTGACCGTGCAGTTGGTAGTCTAGTGAATAACCACTGTGCCACCAGGGCTTCTGTAAGACACTTAGAAGGATCTGTAAAATAACTTTGCTTTTTTTTGAGCTAAATGATTAACCCCATTCGCCCCCCCCACCCCCCAGAAAATTAAGAACAAAAGAGCAGTAAAGACCAAAACAGCAACAGAGATACAGAGCTGAGCTCTGATGGCATAGTGGCCATGCATTGGGCTACTAACTGCAAAGCCAGCAGTTTGAAACTACCAGTGCTCCACAGGAGACAGATGAGCCGTTCTTTCTCCTCCTGTAAGGAGTTATAGTTTCGGAAACTCACCGAGGGGGTGCTACCCTGTCCCCAGGGTTGCCATGACTCGGCATTGACCCATGGCAGTGAGTCTGGTTTTTACATCTTTAAGCAGTGTGGATGTTTTAGTGCATTAAGAGAGACCCTGGGTTTGTATAAATGGTTAAAATGTAGCTGCTGACTGGAAAGTTGGAAGTTCAAGTCCTTCCAGAGGTGCCTGAGTGGAAAGACATGGTGATCTACTTCTGAATAAAAGCACGGTTCTACCCTGACACTCTCTAGGGTCACCATGAGGCATAGCCAGTTTGATGGCACATGATTTTTGTTCGGTTGATTGGATAGTTAATGTTTTAAAGGTGACTGGACTACTATAGCTAAGGGCTATCTCAATTTATTTGAAGAGGCTTTTTGTGGATGCTATTTAGCCTTAAAGACAGTATTTATTCCATCATCTAGATGTTTAAAGTCAGATTTTTTGTTGATATGAGAAACTTCACTTCTTAACTGTAGACAAATATGTGTGTGTGTACATATAGATATATATTAACTTGGGGAATGTTCTATGTTCTTTTATTTATTTGTTTATTTGCTATATGGTCTTAAAGACGGTCTCCTTTTTTTTCATTATTTAGAGAATACTTTATTAGTTTGTGTTTAATCAAACCCATGTAGATAAGACCTTACATATTTAATACAGTGTGTTTCCCCTGTACAAATGGAAAAACATTTGGACCAATATTGCTGTTAATTTCTGTACAATTCCAACTCAACATGGTACAACTGGGATACTTTTCCAAAGTTGACAACACAGCTAAAGTCTCCAAAATTTCAAATTGTATGTATATTTATATATGTATATATTTATATTTATATAAAAAGACCAATCACAGTGTAATGCATCAATACCAGTAACAGCTTTTCCAGGAGCGTCTCCTTCTGACCTAGTTTCTATGGGGATCCAGTTTGTGCACTGTAAACTACTGGGACTTTGGACACTATTCTTTTGAATCTTTCATGGGCCGCACCAGAGAGACCCGATGTGGAAACCCCACCGAGTGAACTGGGTTTGTTATTTTTGGTGGTGAAATGTATGTAACAAAACATTGCAATCAAATTTCTGTGTGGCATTAACTACAGTCACCACATGGTACAAACAACAAAGTACTCACTGTCATTGAGTCAATTCTGACTCTATAGGGCCGAGTAGAACTGCCCCTGTGAGTTTCTGAGACTGTTAGCTCTTTACAGGAATAGAAAGTCCCATTTTTCTCCCAAGGAGCAGCTGGTGGTTTTGAACTGCTAACTTCATGAATCGCAGCCTAACTCGAAACCACCAGGCCACTATTGTACAGCGGTTAATACTATCCATTTGCAAACTTTTTCGTCTCTCTTAACAAAAACTTTGTGCTCTGGAAGTAATCTCCACCCTCCACTTGCCTTCATGAACTTCAATCTCTGTGTTTTATGTTTAGTTTTTAATTTCAATTGTATTTTTAATTTCCATAGAACACGTTTATGGATATATTACCTTTTATTTCTCCGATCTCTCTGATATTACTGGTTAATATTTGCCTTCGCCTTATCTCTGTGATCTCACATTTCTAGCACAACTATTCTGATCACCTCTTTTCACCCCCTCAGTGAAGGAGGGTCCCTTGCTGTAAATAATACAAGACAAGGGTGCTGGACCGAGCAGATTGACAGCAGCGTGTCGGTCACATGTGCTGGTAGCAGTGGAGGAGACAGGCCAGGCCTGCCAGCAGGAACAGCGTACTCTCTGGCATTCTGTTCACCCTGGCGCTCTAAATTGGGAGTGGGTGGGATGAAGGAGTGTGGTGGGATGGGGCTTGTAGGCTCAGCGTTCATTTGTAGACTTTTAGGTAATGACCCTGATTTCACATACGTCCTAAGGTTCTTCCAGCGGGAATCGTGGAGGCAGTGGCTTCTCAGTAGGGAAACAGGCCCTGATGACCAGCTGTTCCTTACGCACCTGTACCAGTCTGTTCCCTGCCTGCGCTGGAGGCTGGCACGTTCATTTCTGTCTGTGCCTGGGACTTTGACCCAAATGCGTGTATGTGTGCGTGTATGTGTGTGTGTGTTGGTAAAGGGGCTTTTACTACGCCCCCCCCCATGTTAGGTTTTTGTGTTTTCTTCTGTGTTGTGTCTCCCCCCCAACCCCCTTTTAAATTCAGTACACTAGCCAGTCATGATTCTAATGTATATAAAAAACAAAACAAAACACACACATAGACACACCAACCAACCAACCAACCAAAACTCCCCAAACCAAACTCTGCCCTTGAGTTGATCCAACTCATAGCCACCCTACAGGCCAGAGTAGAACTTTTTATGGGAGTAGAAAGCCTCATTTTTCTCCCAGAGACTGGCTGGTTGTTTTGTATCTGCTGACCTTGTGGTTAATAGTCCAATACAATGCGCTAGCAAAGATACACAGACAGACAGACACACACACACACACACACACACACACACACACAGATTGCCTTCCATAGGTGAATGGATAAGCTATGGTACATTCATCCAATGGACTATTATTCAGCAGTAAAAAGAACCAGACCATGAAATGACGTGGAGAAGCCCTTAAATCCTGTTGCTCAGTGAAAGAAGCTAGTCTGAAAAAGCTGCATACTCTCCGATTTCCACTATCTGACATTCTGGAAAAGCCAAAACCAGAGACCGTGAAGAGACCAGGTGCTGGCGGGGCCTCAGGGAGAGGATGACAGGGCCGAATAAGTGAAGCACCGGGGATTTGAGGGATTATGAAACTATTCTGCATGATTCCATAGAACTACACTGTACAAAAGAGTGAACTTTAATGTAAACTATGGACTTCAGTTAATAATGTATCAGTAATCTATCGATTTTAACAAATGCATCAAATATAAATGCAAGGTAATAGTAGGGAAAACTCTGCGGGGGTTGGGGGGGGCGGCAATGGGGGAAAGGACAGGGTTTCTGTACTTTTGCTCTTTTCCTGTAATCCTAAAACTGATTTAAACAATGAATTATATTACTTAAAAAAATTAAAACCATTGTTGGAGTTCAGAGTCATGTTAAATAGTGTCCACTTGCTTCTCTGCACATGGTAGAGGCTTTGCCTGGAAATGCCTGAACCTCTCTGGATGTGACCGTTCAGAACATCCGGAGGAGCCGAGGCTTCTCAGGCCTCAGTGGGAAGAGTGGGGTATTAGTGTTCTGTGAGGAAGGCACGATGGAAGGGGCACTGTGCTCCCTGCCGTCATGGAGGTGGGCGGGGGAGGGCGGGGGTGGGCAAACAAAGGTATGGCTTCTGTTACGATGCAGACACACATGCACAGCTCAGCCTTCTCTGTACATGTGCTTCCAAGCTGTGGACCGGGAAGCATGGGCATCCTAAGCAGAAAAGAACCATGAGTGAGGATAAGCCAGGTTTCAGGATTCATTGCTTGATAATAAATACGCGAGGATAGCAAAGCTGTCATCGGTCATGGTGGAATCGGCAATGGTTTCAGTATCATCGTTAAACAAGAACTACAGGGTTAGGGTGGTCTCAGGAGAGAGTCAGCCTGTGTCGTATATCTTACTTGATGTGTTAGGCTGGGTTGTCTAGAGAAAGAAAGCCAGTGGCATTCATACATGTATGGGGACGAAGCTTATTTCCAGAAGTAATTTTATATTAAGAAGGTGACCTGCCCAACTCAACTCATGTGCCTGGGTCCAGTGCTAGCTGGGGTCCTCTTCAGAGTCATGTAGCTGCAGGCCAGTGAAATAGAATGGTGACGCGGGAGACGGAGATCTCAGGCTGGCGGGTAGAGAGTCTTAGGAATCCGAGGCCAGTGGGAGCATGGCAGGACACAGACAGCTCCCGGGCCAGTGGCCCTCGTGGGGCTGTCCCTGGAGGCACGCACAGAATCCCAGCAAGCAAAGAGGTGAAGTGCGAGGGACGAAAGTTCTCACTGGCTTTCTTTTTAAAAAGGCCATGCCCCCAAGGAGGCATCCCCCAGGTACCACCCGATTGACAGACTGGACTCCATTCTTGCCTCCACACCGGTTCCATCAAGTTGACATCCCTCCTGGGATCACGGAGGAGGGGGTGTGGGCAATTGTTGCTGCAAACGGAAGACTTGGTGTAAAGTGTGTTGACTCCTCTTGTAAATGTCTCTTTCCTCCGTCCAGTCTATCGATGACCTGAACAAATGGGCTCTCTTGCTCGTTTCTCCTTTCGTACTTGAGGCTGAACACATTGCCTTTGTGACCGAGAGCATTTGGGAACGAGGTGCGAGTTTCCAGAGACCTCCTTCCTCGACCGAGACAGTGAGTCCTGTGCTTTTACTTGTGGGCTACGGGGAAATAGACACGTGAATCAAAGTCTCGTTTGCTTTTGTGGTGTGCTCTTTCCCAATCTGCCTGCCTGCTCGCCTTTTTCGGAGATTTGGGGTTGGATACAATATATTGGTACACTGACTTTCTCCGGTTCCTTTTGCTGCTTTTGTAAAGCTGTTCTCTCAACTCACTGCCATTGGGTCAATTCCAACTCATGGGGACCCTAGAGGACAGGGTAGAACTGCCCCCGTGGGTTTCTGAGACTGTCACTCTTTGTGGGAGTAGGAAGCCTCTGCTACCTGCCGCGGGTAGTTTTGGACTGCCGACCTTGTGCTTAGCAGCCCACCCTGTGTGCTCTGTGCCACCAGAGCTCCTGTCCAACGACTAGAATATTTATACCTGTGAGGTCAGATTTAGGAGCCCGGGTTGCATAGTGGGTACAGTCTTGGAAACCCAGGGGCAGTTCTCCCCTGTCCTATAGGGTTGCTACGAGTTGACAGCAACTCGATGTCAGTGAGTTCTAAGTTCAAATTTAGGGCTTATTTTAGACTTTCAGAAGGCGGCATTGCTTGATGCTCTTCCGCTCACATCATCTCATCTCCTTGCTTTTTAAATCAGCCTCTCATTCTCAGTGCCACCAAGTCAATGCTGACTCAGCGACCCTGGAGGACAGGCCGGAACTGCCCTTGGGTGTTCCTGAGACGGTAACTCTTTGTGGGAGTAGAAAGCCTCGTCTTTCTCCCACAGCACAGCTGGTGGTTTTGAGTTGCCGACCTTGCAGTTAACAGCTCACTGTGCAACCCACTACACCACCAAGGCACCTGCTTAAAATAGACCAACCATTTAGCGCAGATGAGCTGGTTTACATTACAGCCTGCTTCCTAGACACCTTGCCTCGACTCGAAGAACGCCGCAAACTCAGCGACATGTCCCAAACTAGTTGTCCCCATTACTCTGGTTTAAAAAGAACCAACAAAAAATACCCTCCCCTCCCAACCCAAGTGATTAACACCCCAGTCTGCTTTTCTTCATGTTTTTCATGATCCAGGTGGATCAGCTAGCGTCTGCCAGGGATACAAGCCTGGCAGGAGATGAACAGATAGGCGTTAGTTGCTGTCAAACTGGCTCTGCCTCACAGTGACCTGGTGCATGACCAGTCCTGTGTCCAAGTCGCCGCTGCCCGTGTGCTTCAGCCCATTGTGGAGGCTGCTGCTTCTGCTTTTAATTTTTATTTATTTACTTTTATTTGCTTTGATTTTAAGCTTGACTTACTCCTGGGCCATGTATTTTTGCTCCTTCAGTTTCTTCTGCGATATCTTTTTCTTCTTTGCAAACTCCTCTTCTGGTTTAGGAAAATGTTGTTCCTTTTCAGTCAGGATAATTTCAGTGTGCCGGGGAAGCTCCTGTATGTGTTGATCGGACCGTGAGCTTTGTTAATTCCAGACAGTGCATCTTGGGGGCTTTGTGCACCCGGATGTGCTCAATGAACAGAGAAGCCATATCTAAACCCTTAAGCTCAGCATTACTCTCTGCATTTTGAAGCATATGCGGCAAAAATTCAGCACTCTTTTGGGCCACCGACCCTGGGTCCATCCCTACTGTCTGGCCTGGCCACACCTACCAACACCACCATTGTAATGTTGGGAGGGCACACACTGCTTCTGCAGAGTGACGTCTTTCAAATATTTGGTGGCTTTCTGGATATGCATCCCCTTGCTGGCCTGGGCAATTTCACAGGTGCTTTTAATATGGACCCGGGGATTGGACCCTCTTGATGTGCATGATTCTGTGGGGTTTTCTGGGTCAAGTGCATAGCGAACCATTTTGGCAGATCACCTCAGCCTGCTATGAGGAGAGTTAACTTTTTTTTTTTTTCATTTTATTAGACTTTGCGGTTCCACCAGGCTCTATTCAGCCAGCAAGTCTGGTCTCTTGCATGATTTTGAGTTTTGTGCACCTGTTTCTCCCACTGCATCCAGGCCTTTCGAATAGAATCCTTTTCAGAGCACCTGTTCCTCTCTCAGAGGGCTGTGCAGACTGATACTTGCATGATCCATTAGTCCTTGGGACTAATAATTTCCATGGGTCTTTGATTGTTTTGACTCTTCTTTCTTCCGAGGGGAAGAGACCAATAGTTGCACCATTTGGCCACTTTTAAGACCGTAATCACTACTCACCAAAGTAGGTTGCAGACTTTGTGGACTATGGTATGCCGGTTCACCTTGGTGACCCCCAAGACAATGCTTCTGAGTCCCCAGACCCAAGGACTCATTCCCCAGACATACCTGGATATGTCTAAGAAGTGCATACAAGTAATGTTTCCCTCTTGTGCTCCACCGGCTGCTGCTGTGTGTGCCTTCCAACCCAGCGTGGTAGCTGACATTCTGTTGTGATCCGTGAAGGTTCACTGGCTGGTTTTTGGAAGTAGATCGCCAGGCTTTTCTTTCTAGTCTGTTTTAGTCTGGAAGTCCCACTGCCACCTGTTCGCCTTGGTTGACCCTTCTGGTATTTGAAATGCTGGTGACATAGTCTCTAGCACCATAGCAACACACCCGCCACCTGAACCTGATGAAATGATGGACAAGTTCCGGCTGTTGTTCATCCTCAGTATCATTTCCAAGTCTTTACCTGGTCAATTTGTTGTGTCACACTCCTGCATCTGTGGAGTATAACTATTGACACTCCTGCTTGATTTTTTGATTCGTGAATAATCTTCTCTTAACACATTACTGACAGGTCATGAGTGTACTTGTGTTTCCGTACCCAAACATTAATGACTAGTCACAAGGTCACTCATGCTTGCATGTACACATTTATTGCAGTTTCTAGGCTGAAAGCAATAAAGTGCTTTATAGGAGCCAGCTGCATGAGATAGTTTCAGCTTGAAATAGTCAGCAGAGGGTTGAAAGCATCGTCCACCTGCCCCTATCCATTGCCCTGAAGTTGATTCTGATTTATAGTGACTCCATTGGATAGAATATAACTGCTCCTTAGGCTTTCTGAGAGTGAATCTTTACAGGAGTAGACAGCCTCATCTTTCTCTCATGGAGTGGTTAGTAGCCCAGCGCTTAACCCACGATGCCACAGGGCTCCTTAACGGCTCCGTAAGACATAGTATCTCTTTACATAATAGAGAACAAAGATGGACTTTATAGCAGTCCTTCCCCCCTCTGCTCCCACACACAGACAGGCAGCAAGACTATGTAAGAATAAGTGAAAGTCAAGAAGAACCTCCTCCCTTTAGTCTCATAGCCCTGCTGGCATAGTGGTTATGCATTGGGCTGCTAACCACAAGGTCAGTAGTTCGAACCACCAGCTTTTCCTCAAGAGAAAGACAAGGGTTTCTGCTCCTGCAAAGAGTTACAGTCACGGAAACCCACAGGGGCAGCTCTCCGCTGCCCTAGAGGATCATTATGAATTAGAATTGATTTGATAACAGTGAGTTTAGGTTCCAATTTTAGTATCCTAGTTTAAAAACCTTCACTTCTTCATATCGCCCTTCTTCCTCCATCCAGTTCATTACTAGAACTTTAAAACACATGGCATGTAACCGACGGGGCAATGGTGGCCCAGTGATAGAATGCTCACCTTCTACATGGAAGACCCAGGCCTGACTCGGCCAGTTTACCTCATCAGAGTAACCATCTATCTATTAGTGGAGGCTTGCATGCCCCTGTGATCCTGAACAGGTTTCAGCAGAGCTTCCAGATGAGGAGTGACTAGGAAGAAAGGCCTGGCCACCTACTCCTGAAAATCAGCCCACGAAAACCCTATGGATTGCTTGGCCCCGTCCACAACCAATCATGGGGACGGTACAAAAGCAAGCAGCAGCTCCCTGCATCGGGAAGGGGGGCCCTGAGTAGTTAGGAGCTGACTTGACATCCGTTAAGACGACTCGCTAACTCTTACTGCCCTCGAGGCCATGCCGACTCACAGCGACCCCGCAGGACAGGGTAGAACTGCTCCTCTGAGTTTCCGAGACTGGGACCCCTCTTTACGGGAATAGAAAGCCCTGGCTCTCACCCGAAAGGAGGACAGAAACATGTAATTAAGTTGATCCCAAAGAGGAGAAAGGAAAGTGAGCAGAGGAGGTTCTCTGACCCCAGGGGCTGATCAGACCTGGTTTCTTCTCTCATTGTGCAGGACTTGAGCCTCCAGGGGCATGCGGCAGGCAGCCGAGGAAGGGCCCGCAGTTCAGGTCACGCTTGGTGCATTTCATTCGGTGCTTTTTCAGCTGGGCTTTCTCTGGCTTGCGAGTTGAATTGTGTGGCCCTAATCAATGGTGCCACCGTGTGCAGGGCTCCCTTTGTTCAGGGCCAGCCAGGCCTTCCTCAGCTTTGATCTCTGGCTTGACTTCCTCTTCTTCCTGCAAAAGCTCCAACCTGCAGTGGCCGTGTTTGCTTTCCCCCACGGGGCGGGGTGGGGGGTATGCATCCCACAGGAGGTATCGGTGTCAGGGCCAGCTTTGATCGGGCACCCAGTGCTATCTGCAGGCGTCTGCATGGTCTGCGGCTCATGACCCACGTTCCTAGAATAAAGGAAGTGCACTTAGGTGGGGAGGTGCCTGGGCATTTGGTCAGGGAGGTGTGTGTATCATGTTCTTGGCCTCTTCCTGCCCTCCCCGCTCCTTTGTTTACCTCCTTGGCTCCTGCTTCAGAGGTGTGGGAGAAGGTAATGATGGCCCCTTTGACACCAAGTGCCTGCTTCTAAGGAGCCCTGGTGGGGTAGTGGTTGTGTGGGTCTCTCAGGGAGAAAGACACAAAGACAGGGCTTTCTTCTCCCATAAACAGTTACCACTTCGTCTCTGAAACCCACAGGGGGTGGCTATGAGCATTTTGAGACTACTTTCAGGCGGCACACCCCCTTCGGCTTCCACCACAAACGACAACAGGAAAACCCACTGCCCCAGAGTCGATTCCCACTCACAGGCTGCTCCTTAGGATTCCTGAGCCTTTATGGGAGCTCAGCCTCATCTAATCGTGGTCTCCACAATGGAATTCTGGGCTGGTGCTCCATGGAGGCCCACGGAGCTCCCAGGAAGCATTTGTCCTCATCCTGTGGTTTTGAGCCAGGCACCAAAGCTCTTAGCCCCCAGGGCTCCTGTGACTAGCACAGGGTTATGAAAGTAGTTTGTTTCTGAAGAAACCTTTGGTAGGCTGAAATGGTGGAAAGCGAAGAAGCAATTACTATTAGTTTATATGCTTGTTTGTTTGTTTTAAGCCCCCCCAGATTGAAAAAACAAACAAACAAAAACCCCATGTAAGGAGTCATAGTAAATACCACCCAGAACTAACACAACACAAACACAGGGTGTTCACAGACAGCTCTTCAAGCTGAGCAGTTGGGGGTAGGACCCGGGTAAGGAGCTTGGCAATGTCTCTGCTGCCGCCTGGGGTGCACCCTACCTCTCTGACGGCTCCCTGCCAAACGATATCCTGGAAAACAGGTACTAATGTAAACGCAGGGTGGCACCGAGTGAACTTTGGGGAAGAGGGAACACCTGTATTCCCATTCTAACAATGAGAAAGCCGAGCTTTGAGAGGTTCAGAGATTTGCTCTAACCCCTCCGTGGTCTCCCGTCTCCACTAGAAACCCCTCAGAGCATTTGCAGATAATCTGAGCTCTGTTTTAAATTCCCAGCGCTCTAGCGAAGGCTTTAAGGACTGCTTTGTTTGGTCTCGTGTTCCCTGCCCTCTTGTGGTGGAAATGTGAACTTACAGGGACCGCGCTTAGGGGTTGTAAGTGTCCCCACTTGTCAGTGAGCAGTCTCAGCAGTGGAGAGTCCGCAGCAGCAGAGTCTGGAGGAGGGCTTGGGACTCTGAAGTTTTATGGTCCTTCCAGGTGAGACAAGCTGGTCTATAGGCTGTGAATGCAGACCCGTTGTTTGAGCTCCTTGTTTTCTGTTCGTGAAGGGTCTTTCTGATGTCAGGAAGTGTAATGGTAGTGGCATGCAGATTGGACTGCGAACCCCAGGGTCAGCAGTTAGAAACCACCAGCCGCCCTGTGGGAGAAATCTTTTTACTCCCTATAAAGAGTTCCAGTCTCAGAAACCCCCGGGGGTGGGGACAGTTCCACCCTGCCCTAGGGTCTCTATGCCGTGGCATTGATGGCCATGAGTCAGGTAGTCAAGGGCTGTTCTGATTTTCTGACTCTGAGAAGGACCGTTTCTCTGTTTATGTTCTTTGAGAAGTGCTTGAGCCGTTGAGCGGGTTATGCTGAGTGCTTTGTAAGCACTGTGGTCCCTGGGTGCTGCCGATGGTTTGTACACATACTGCTCACCAGAGAGTGGGGGGTTCGAGTCTAGCCAGGGGCACCCTGGAAGAAAGGCGTGGTGACCTCCTTCTAAGCAACGAGCCACTGAAAACCCTGTGGAGCCCAGTTAGTTCTGCTCTGACACCGATGAGGTTGCTGTGAGCCAGAATCTGACATCAGCCAATTCAGCACTGTTGTCAGACAGGAAATGAGAATGTCCGTGCCCAAACCACTGACATTAAACAGATGGATGTCTGCCGTCTCCTTGCCTTGGTCCGTAATGCAGTGGTGCAGATCTGTAGGGGAAAAGAAGGCATTTGGTTACTTCAGAGATGTAAACATGTCAACCTCCCTCTCTCTTCCTCCTCCCCACCTGCTGTTCCTTAGGTTGTGAAGTGGTCAGACTGCTGCCTGCTGCTGGCTTGTAGACCTGGGGACCCTTACCAGCTAATCGCTAAAGCAAGCGTGGACGACTTCAGCAAGCTGGGAGTCGCGTTCATGGAAGACAGACTCCAGATGGACAATGGGCTGATACCCCAGAAGATTGTTTGTAAGGGACTTTAGAAAATGTTAAAAAATTTTTTTTTTTATCATAGCAGGTCACTGTAGTTTGTTAGCTGAAGAACTGCCAAATATCCCTTTCCAGTATGGCTTCAACCCTCTGCCACTGAGTGGATTCCACCTCATAGGGACTCTACAGGACAGAATAGGACTGTCCTGTGGAGTGTCCAGGGCTGTAAATCTTTATAGGAGCAAATGACTGCGACTCTCTCCCACTGAGTGGATGGTGGGTTCAAACAACCAACCTTTCATTGAGCAGTCCGCGCTAGTCTACTGTGCTACCGGGGCTCTTTGGATAGTGTCAAACCATCGAGTTGATTCTGATCCATGACAAGCCTCATCTTCTTCCTGCTGTGTGGCTTGAGCACACTGCTTGTTTTCATTCAATGCAGTAGTGCAACATTCATACAGGGGTCAGGTTTTAGTTTTTGTTTGTTTTGAGGTGTTTATTCCTTAGTACTGTACATCTTTAGTGTGTATTGAATTTCCAGATCCAAGATTTTCGATAACTGCATTGTCTAGGAAATGACATTCAAGTTTAGGACCCATAAATGATATAATTCAGATAACAGTATAACTGGTTTCTAGACTGTAACCCCAAACCAAGCTCATTGCCACAGAGTCAATTCCAATTCATAGTGACCCTACAGGACAAGTTAGAACTGTCCTGGTGGATTTCTGAGATTGTGATACTCTATAAGAGTAGAAAGCCTCACCAGAGGAGGTACACTGGTACAGATAGGAAATGAAAATACAGGGAATCCAGGACGGATGAGCCCTATAGGACCAGTGGTGTGAGTGGCAAAACAGGGAGGGTAAAGGGAGAATGGGTAGGAAAGAGGGAACCGATTACATGGAACTGTGTGTGACTTCCTCCCTGGGGGACAGACAACCGAAAAGTGGGTGAAGGGAGACGTTGGACAGGGCAAGATATGACAAAATACCCATTTATAAACTATCAAGGGCTCATGCGGGAGTGGGGAGCAGGGAGGGAGGGGAAAAATGAGGACCTAATGTCGGGGGTTTAAATGGAGAGAAAATGTTTTGAGAAACGATGTACAAATGCGCTTTACACAATTGATGTGTGTATGGATTGGGATAACAGTTGTATGAGCCCCTAATTAAATGTTAAAAAAAAAAAAAGAGTAGAAAGCCTCATTTTGATCCCAAGGAGTAGCTTGTGGTTTCAAACTGCTGACCTTGTAATTAGCAGCCCAACTAGTAGCCCACTGTGCCAACTCAATGATATGGGAGCAGAAGCATTATTATTCTGAAGTTCTCAGTCGAACTACTTCTTACTAAAAACCTTTGGAACAGTCCTTTCTTTCAGGAAAGGCACAAAATGTTCTTTCTAAATTAACGGAAAAGTGGCCTTAAATGTCTGTGCACGTCTTTCTAACTCAGGAACAGATGAGTATTTGCGTATCCGCTCCCTAGATATGCACATGTCCCCAGTCCCTTGAGTTGTGAGGGCCACGTGCCACAGGCTACGCCTGGCACAAAGCAGGTTCCCTGTCAGTTTTGTCGCTTAATTCCCGTCCTGAAGAACCTTTTCCCTCCGTGACCCTGAGTGCGTGTTTCTCCTGGGGTGTGCTTTGAGAGACCTGGAAGAGGTTGCCGTCATGTCGGTTCCACTTCGTGGTGACCCGTGGGTGTCAGAGCAGAACTGGGCTCCACAGGGTTTTCAACGGCTGATTTTTTGGGAAGAAGATTCCCCAAGCCTCTCTTCCATGGCGACTGGGTGATTTCAGACTGCCGACCTTTCGGTGGAGCAGCCAGTGTAATGAGCGCTGCCCAGGGACTTCCACATAAAGCATCTGTCGTGGCAGGGGACAGCTAACAACCACGATGGACGGGGCAGCATCGGCTTTCTGAATCTTAGTCAGTAGAGGAGGGGAGGGAGGAGCTGAAGGCTCTGCAGTTTGTAGGGGAAAGATGTTGAGAAAGGTGGCCTGGGGCACCTGGTGGCTCCATGGGCATCCTCCCAGCATGTGGGCACAATGGCGTGGCTCCCAGGGATGCCGCTGCAGAGTTGAGGGGAGAGGCGGGTGGGAGCTGGGTGGGTTGTCAGGCTTGGTGTGAGAGCCTTGGCGAGGCCAAAGAGCGTGACGAGACTCTTGACCTGGGCTGCGTGACTGACTGTGTCTCCCGTTCTTGCTTGCTGTAGCAGTGCATTTTCAGGACTCCGCTCTGAAGGACCTTAAGGGCCAGACCTCCGACAAGCACGCACAGGCCATGCAGCCGCACCCTGAACCTCCCACGGAGACGATGCCCGAGCCGGACGCCGCAGCGCATGCCGGCAAAGATGATCCGCAGCTTCTGAGGGAAGAGCCCAAGCAGGGGTTGGGCAGTGGCTCTGGGGCAGACCCCGGTGAGGAGAGTGACCGAGGAGCTGGCTCCACGGAGCATCACGGCCTCCATCTCTTTAGTTGCCACGAGTGTTTGGAGCTCGAGACTAGCACCATCGAGTCCATCAAGTTTGCTTCTGCAGAGAACATTCCGGATCTCCCCTACGACCACAGCAGCAGCTCTGAGAGCGTGGCTGACGAGCCCTCTGCTGACAGAGAAGGGAGGAGAGTCACCACCACGGGCAAGGTACCCAACATCCTGGTCTATGTGGGCCCCGATTCCAAGGAAGCCCAGGGCAGGTGCCAACATGTGCAGGCTATGTTGGCTGACTGTGTGGACACCGAGCGCTATACCATCTACCACCTGTGGGAGGACAGCGCACTCAGTGATCCGTGGCTGGACAACTGCCTGCTGCTGGTGCTCGCCACCCCGGAGCCCGTTCCCAGCACCCTGGACCAGAAGGTCATTGCCTATCTTACTCAGGGAGGGAAGGTGCTGGGCTTGTCTTCTTCCTTCACGTGTGGTGGCCTCCAGGTGGCCAGCAAGGGGCCCCCGCAGAAGACAGTGCAGAACCTACTCTTCTGCGGGACCGAGCGGAATGAGGTGAGGCTCAGTGTGCTGAGCAGTGGCTGCTTCTATGAAGAGAGCCCGGGGGACACGCTCGGCCTAGGCAAGCTGCAGGGCCACCTGGACAACGTGGACAAGGACAGGATGATCGTGCAAGTGCCTTTTGGACCACTCGGAGGAGAAGCTGTCCTTTGCCAGGTACTGAGACTCCCGTTGACGTAATGGTTTCTGGGGGCCCTTTCCAGGAGTGTCTCTGACAGGGCGCAGGGTGTTAAGGCTGCTGGTGAGGGTTTAAGGGTTCCACCCTTCGGAGTGCTGTGGGCTGCTTCTGACTGTTAGTTGGGACTTGGTGCTGCTGATGAGAGGGCCCAATTCAGGGCTGTGGTGTGGCCTGCATTAACCGGGTTATAGAGGAAGGAGGCAGGAGCTGGCTGCTGCCAGTGACTGGGGCATCCCCTGGCTCACGGCAAGCTAACATCCAGCAGAACCAAGCCTGGCCCAGTGTGGGCGCCACCACAGCACCACCAGATGTTGGAGTCCACCGCTGCGGCTGTGGTGCCGGGCCATCGAGGGTCTCCCTGGTCCTCGTAGGCCTCTCACTTCACTGCTCCCTCCCAATGAGGGTCCTGAGCAAATTCTCTGGCTCTTTTTCAGAGGCAGACAGCCAGGCCTTCCTTCCTAGTCTGTGTCTGGAAGCTCTCGGGAAGTGCCCACTGTGGGTGAGCCTGCTAGTGTTTGAAGTCTGGCAGCAGAGCTCCCAGCATCACAGCAGCACACAAGCTGACAGATGGTCATGGAGGAGGTGTGATCGTTAACTAACCTTTTGAGATAACCAAGGGTTAGGCAGAAAATTCTGTTTTAATATATTTTGTTCTGGTTTTGAACATAATTGGTGGTCATCTTTCCAAAATACCTCCATCAACCTCCTTGCCTCACAGTGCAGCCTGGCTAACACACCGGGGCCTTTATTTAACGCCAGGCTCAGGATTCCAAATAGGAGGGACCATCACCGTAAAATATCAGAGCTGCTCTCATGGAGCGGACTCTGCTCACCGCTGCTGGGACGGTTAGGAGGTTGGGGTTCAAGATCTTCAGATTCTGAATTCCTTTCTTACAATCTGTCTCTCACAACACCCGACGTCCCTGGGCAGCACAAATGGCGTAGCTTGCCTGCTGACAAATGCTAGGGGTTCGACTCCCCCAGGCTCTCTGCGGAAGAAAGGCCTGGCAACCTGCTTCTGCAAAACATGCGGGCTCAGAGGTGCCTGGGTGACAGCAGGTTTTCTTCTGAGATGTAAAAGCTGCTGAGAGGCTAGTGGAGTTATTTAGATTTATGGTGCGTTAATACATCAGAAAACCCAAACAACAGCAACTCACTGACATCCACTCTATGCCAACTCATAGCAACCCGATAGGACAGGGTAGAACTGCCCCTGAGAGTTGCTGAGACTACAACTCTTTACGGGAGTAGAAAGCCTGTCTTTCTCCCGAGGAGTGGCTTGTGGTTTTGAACTGCTGGCCTTGTGGCTAGCAACCCAATGAGTAACCACTATGCCACCAGGACTTCTTGTATGAATCCATAGGTGAGGGGAAATAAATGGAAAGGGAGAAGCTGAGAAGAAGCTGATGCACCTCTTTCTTTCTTAGGAGTTCTTGTGGCTCTTTAATGCCCCCCCCCCCC